ATGCCCTTGTATTTCTATATTATGGAATAATTAAGAGTAGTGGCATTAATTCTTCTTTGAAAGTCTGGTAGAATTTTAGGCTAAAACCTTCTGGCTCTGGGCTTTTAAGTTTAGGAAATTTTAATGACTTCTTTTATTTCATGTGTAGGTTATTGGTTCATTTAGATTATTTATCTGATTGTGATTTCACTTTGTTAGGTGGTATCTTTAGAGAAAATTATTAATTTCTTTTAGATTTTCCATTTTTGTGGCGTATAGGTTTTTGAAGTATGACCTAATGATTCTTTGGATTTCCTGGTGTCTATTGTCATAAACTAACTTCCTTCTGATTATTTTAATTAGAATATTCTATGTTTTTTAGTTAGTTTGGATAAGAGTTTGTATATCTTGTATTTTTTCTAACCAACTAAATTTTTCATAGATTTTTTGCGAAATTTTTTCTTTGCTTTCATTTTATTTATTTCAACCCTCAGTGTTAACAACTTTTTACATCTACTCCTTTGGGGTGTGATTATTTTGTTTTGTTCTAGATCATTGACATGTGCTGTTAAGTTACTATTATGAGATCTTTCCAATTTCTTTATGTATAAACTTTGCGCTATGAGCTTTCTTTTTAGTACAGTTTTCATTGTGTCATATAAGTTTGGGTATGTTGTGAATTCATTTTCATTGATTTCTAAAACATCTTTAATTTCTTCATTTTTTTCCTTGAGGCAGTGGTAATTCAGTTGGGAGTTGTTCAATTTCCATGAATATTTAGGCTTTCTGTTACTTCTGTTTTTCTTGATATCCAGCTTTAAATGCAGTTATCTGATAGTATTCAGGGAGTTAATTCAATTTTCTATTATGTGTTGAGACTTGTTTTGTGACTAAGTATAAAGTCAGTTTGGAGAAAGTTCCATGAGGTGCAGAATAGAAAGTATATCCTCTTGCGTGTAGTTGGAAGATTTCCTGTGTCCAGCCTGGCCCATGGTTGGGACAAATCTCTCACCCAGAGTCCTGCAGCCTTTTATAAAATAATCACACAGAGACTTAATATTAGTTATAACTGCTTGACCGTTAGCTCAGGCTTATTACTGACTAGCTCTTACACTTAATTTAACCCATAATTCTTATCTATTTTTAGTCACATGGCTTGGTACCTTTTCTCAGTTCTGCCTTGTCATTTTGCTTCCTCTGTGTCTGGCTGGTGACTCCTGACGCAGCCTTCCTCTTCCCAGAATTCTCTTTGTCTGCTCAGCCCCCCCATACTTCCTGTCTGGCTATTGGCCAATCAACATTTTATTTATCAACCAATCAGAGCAACATATATTTGCAGCACACAGGACATCCCACAACACTTGTGCTTGGGTAAAATGTTCTATAAATATCTGTTAGGTTCATTTGGTCTCTAACATCTGTTAATGCCAGTATTTTTCTGTTTAGTTTTTAGCTGGATGTCCTTTTCTTTTGTAATAGTGGGGTTCTGAAGTCTCACACTATTAGTGTATAAGGGTTAATATGTGATTTAATCTGCTGTAGTGAGTCTTTTCCAAATATGGTGACTGTGTTTGGGGTATGGTTTGAATCCAAATGGCATCTTGAGGGATCTTTCCTTTGATGAGTATGTAGTTTCCTTCCCTATCTCTTTTAATCAGTTTTGGTTTGTGATTTATTTTGTTAGACATTAAAATGGCTACACCAGCTTGCTTCTTGTACCCATTTACTTGAAATATCTTTTTCAACCATTTACCCTGAGGTAATATCTATCCATGATATTGAAGTTTGTTTCCTGGATGCAGCAGAAGGATGTATCCTATTTTTGCATCCATTCTACTAGTTTATCTTGTTATCAGTTAGTTGGTATCATTGATATTGACAGATATCAATGGTCAATGATTGTTGGTGATGTTGGTACATTTGTGTGAGTATGTGCATGCTTCCCTTCTTTTGATTTTGTTGGTGTGACATTTATTTATTCACTGTGTTTTTCTGTGTGCAATTAAACTCCTTAAGTTGAACTTTTCCTTCTAGAACCATCTGTAGGGCTAGATTTGTAGATGATAATGTTTAAATTTTACTTTATCATCTATAGTGACTGAAAATTTTGCTGGGTATAATAGTCTGAACTATAATGGGTGGTCTCAGACTCTGCAGCACATCTGTCCAGGCCTTTCTGGCTTTTAGAGTCTCTAAAGAGAAGTCAGGTATAATACTAACAGTTCTGCTTTTATATATTACTTGGCATTTTTAGCTCGCTGCTATTAATATCCTTTCTTTGCATTATCTGCTTAGTGTTTTGATTATTATTTTGTTAGGGGATATTCTTTTCTGGTCCAATATGTTTGATATTCTCTATGCTCTGTGTACCTTTATAGCCATCACCTTCTGTAGTTAGGGAAATTTTCTTCTCTGATTTTGTTGAAAACATTTTTCTGGACTTTTAAAGTTGGGTTTCTTCTTTTCCTACTTAAAGTAGAAATGACTGTTTTTCATATATAAAAGTTTAGATTCATGATTCTTTCAAGTTTCTTTTATAAGATTACCTTTTGAGATGTATAATAAAGTAATTGATCCTGTATTTGTAACCACAAAATGTAGGCAGCCAGTTAAAGGGCTGGCTGAGAAAAATGCCTTATTTGCTTACAGTTTGTTAATCTATAACAAATTGCTTGGTCATGAATGTATGTGGGTTCTAGGAGATAATTTATTTTCCACCTGTAATGCATAAAATCTCTAATTATATAAAGGAAATATAGGTCCTTGAAAATAATTTGTTTTTTACCTGTAATACGTAAAATATTTAATCATATAAGAGAAGTGAGAAACATCTTGTTTTTTATTCATATTTATTGAAATGATTCACTTGAAAATAGACTGTTTCTACATTGTAAAGGCTGTAAAGAAAATAAAATGAAGAAGGGAAACATCAGGGTAGAAGAACAGAATAGAAAAAGAATAGAATAGAACAAATAACAGAAAGAAGGAAAAAGTGAAAAACCAACTTTGACCCTCAAAAGTCCTCATTTGTCTGTTTGTCTGTACAAGAGTTTGCCTGAAGGCCTGCCATTTATCAGCACCTTAGGTGAGATCCAGGTATGTTGGAGGTGTGTGTGTGTGTGTGTGTGTGTGTGTGTGTGTGTGTGTCCTTTTCACTTGCCCCAGAGAATTAAATTTTACTCCCTCAAATGGAAAATTAAATTGAGTGATTAGTTCTCTGACTCCACATCTTCCCTCAATTCCCAAGATGCTCAGGTCTGGTCCCTATAGCAGCATGAGTATATGTACACTAGGCTTTGATGTAATTTAATAGTGATGTTGGAATTTCTGACACTTGCTCTAATGAGCCCACTTTTTTCATATATTCAGGAGTTCTGAACTCAGATCATCAAGTTATCATCTCCCCAGCCTATGATTTTAATTATTGTTTATAAATACTTCTACTTGTTAAATCTTTCCTGTGAAAATAGTATGTTTTGAAAAGGAACATCCCTTACTCTATCTCTTGAATGCATTAGGAGACCAGTATAAGTGATTGGTTCATTCTATCAAAATTTATGCGATTTTTTAAAGATCTTGTTCAGGGTTAAAACTGCCTCATGAGACTATTCTCAGAACCTATCCCCATCATTTAGTAACACATGTTGTAGATGAAGAATAGTGAAGAACATACCTTACAAATTTGATAAGGACTGACCTAAATACTGATGCTATACCAATAAAAGTGAGGGCTGAAAATTGACTAGTGGACTTAGGAGGAGTTATTTTTTTGTTTTGTTTTTTTTTTTTGTTTTTTGTTTTTTTGTTTTGTTTTTCGAGACAGGGTTTCTCTGTGTAGCTTTGCGCCTTTCCTGGAACTCACTTTGGAGACCAGGCTGGCCTCGAACTCACAGAGATCTGCCTGCCTCTGCCTCCCGAGTGCTAGGATTAAAGGCATGTGCCACCACTGCCCGGCCCAGGAGTAGTTTTTATTGATTGGAAAATTGGGAGTCAGAAGCCTAATCTGGGTATTATGCAGACAAGAAGAGGGAGAGCCAAAGCATATATTTAAGGAATTTTATTGGAAATCAAAAAGAAATAGAACAATGTTTTGGAAGCTAGTTTCTACTTATGTTATAGCTAATCACATTTATTGATTTTTTTTATTCTATTTGTTGGAAAAACTAACTGGTACAGAAAAAGGGTTTAGCCCTCCAGAGAGAAGATAAAACCTCCCTTGCCACCCTTAAGAGCTGGTGGCTCCTCTGGGAGGCACCTTGGATGCAGTGTGGATAAAAGAGCACTGTGACTAGAGTCCAGTGAGAAAGGCCATGCCAACTCCAAGGAGTAACTGCCTCAGGCATGAAACCATGTCCTATTTACTTAGTCCTGTCTGGAATGGGGTACTGGGATGACATAGGATTGAATAGGGAAGATGTGGCCATATTTTATTAGAAACAGTGAAAAAAAATGAGAATTTTAAAAATGAAATTTCCATCTGACTTTATTTCCAAATATACTTTCTTTAAAAAAAAAAGCAAGCAAACAAAAACAAACCAATACACTTTCTGTGTGAATGACAAATATCAGTATTAGGAAATACAATTATACAAAAAATACTACATCTAGTCTGAGGTAGACACATTTTATTTTTGGTAACATACATTAAGTGGCACTAATTACACAGTAACTATAAGGTAACTAACATGACACCACAGAACTGTGACTCTGCCACAGCTGCGTGGACTTGGGCCTTTCTGGCTGAGCAAGTTTTCAAAAACCTGGATGCCTTCCCCAGAGCTCTGCCAATGGGATCTGTTAAGGAGGAAAGCTCTGAAGTAGTGCTTCATCAGAGTTCCTTGTAGCTGACAGATGAGAGGCAAGACATGTTGATTTTAAAGCAGTTACAGCCTATTTCACAAGTGTTACCAACTGTTTCTTTCTAGGAAGAAGCAAGAAGTTAAGAAATCCTTTGCCTTAGCACCTGGTGTCAGGTGAAGAACAGAGAGGACTGTTAGAGCAGTGTCAGAAAGACCCTAGCTAGGCAGACAGGTTGGATATCATTAATAGTCATGGTTCGCTTCTAAATACTGGTAGCAAGATGACTTCTGATTTGTAATCTTAGGTAAATTATAGATAAATGAAAAGGCCAGTAATCATACACTAAGATTAATAAACAGCACTTCAAAATTAACCGCACGAGGGCTGTGCTTGCACAAGGCTTCACAAAATGAGGCACCCAGATTTTTTCTTCCCACATCTGGCTTGCAGAGCAGCTCTCGTGACCATTTCAAACGCCTCTCTCACTCCATGTTTGGTCTTTGCTGGACACTCCATGTACCCCAAAGCGCCTGTCCTGTTTGCCGTATCTCTGTCTTCTTCAGGTTTTACCGGCTCCTGCTTCATTTTGGCTAACTCTTGTCTTTTGTGCTCATCATTCCGAAGATCCTTCTTGTTCCCAACCAGGATGATGGGCACATTGGGACAGAAATGCTTGACTTCAGGAGTCCATTTTTCTGGGATGTTTTCTAAACTATCAAGGCTGTCGATGGAGAAACACATCAGTATAACGTCAGTGTCTGGGTAGGAGAGAGGCCTCAGGCGATGATAATCTTCCTGTGTCCCACAAAGCCAACTCCACCTGCTTTCCATCCACTTGGATATCTGCCACATAGTTTTCAAACACTGCGAGCACATAAACCTCTGGGAATTGGTCCTTGCTGAAGACTATGAGCAAGCATGTCTTACTGCAAGCTCCATCACCAACATTTACCAGTTTCTTCCTGATAGCAGCCATCGCTTACAAAGGTGCTGAAAACACACAGCTTCTGTGACAGTGGTTATACAAAGTACCTGGAAGTTCTCAGAAGCAAGGCTCAAGGCGACAACTCCGAGTCCAGCCTCTTCTCACTCAGGATGCAATCTGCGAGTCTGCAAGCTCAGAGATGAGGACCGGCAGCTCCGAGGGAGACAGCAGACTAAGGAGAAAACCGACTGAGGACAGCCCCAATTATTGATTTTTATTAGATTTCTAAATCCATGTCACAAATCTATATTATGAGAAACACTACATATATATTAAAAAGTTTTTTATTATTATTCTTTATAGGTCATCTTTAAAAACAGACACATTAAAATATTTTCCTTTTTATGGCTAGATTTTAATTATTCAAAACTCTTGGCACAATTAAAACACAAAATGAAATAGGATGTAGAAATAGGGTTTGCTGTTTATGCTATAAAATATATTTCAAAAACCACTCTTAACAACAAATCTGTCCTCATCTTATCAAAGAACCTACGTTTTCTCTTCAACTTAGATTTATTTGATATTTATATTCAATTAGTACCCTTACTTTTAATAGATTAATAGGCTTTTAAAATTTCCATATTAATTTTAACTTTAAAAAAATCCAGCATGGCTCAGTTGAGTATAAACCTTATCTGACTAATACCATGAAAAAGAATCCACCTTCATGGAATGTGACAGCTTTTTGCATGATCATTGGTCAGAAGTGATTAGTCAAATGGCAGCATCCAGTGTTTGAAGGGCATAATGTGCTCAAACACAATTACTGAGGCATGTCAGTGGACATGTTTTAATCCCAACATTCAGAAGGATGAGGTAGGAAAGAGAATTGTATGTTTCTGGCCAGCCTCCACTGCATACTGAAACAGCACCTCAAACAAACCTACCTATCCCCCTGAAACACATACTTCTTGTGTAGCACTGAGCATGGTGGCTTATATGTTTATCCTAGCACAGACAGAGGCAAGTGGACATCTATGAATCTGTGGCCAGCCTGTTTTACCTCTAGTGTTCCAGATCAACCAGTGCCTCATAGTGAGAGACTGTTTAAAAATCAAATGTGTAGGTAACTTGAAAGGATTTAGTGACAGCATTGTAGATATTAGCCTTTAAACAAGAAAAATCCCAAACTGATTCTTAGAAATTAGAAAGCAAAATTTATATGTTATTGTTTATGAGGTCATTTGTCTTTCACTAACCATAGCCTTTTATTTGAACTGCCAAACAATTTTACATTTTTTTCTGGGAAACAAATGGAACAGACTGTAAAAATGGAGTTTCATGTTAAACAATTGGATTTAACTTGTTCTTTAAAGACAGATATTGACAGCCGGGCGGTGGTGGCGCACGCCTTTAATTCCAGCACTCAGGAGGCAGAGCCAGGTGGATCTCTGTGAGTTCGAGGCCAGCCTGGGCTACCAAGTGAGTCCCAGGAAAGGCGCAAAGCTACACAGAGAAACCCTGTCTCG